AGTATTATTGATCTGTCAGGTGACTGATTACAGTATTATTGATCTGTCAGGTGACTGATCACAGTATTATTGATCTGTCAGGTGATTGATCAGTGTCATTGATCTGTCAGGTGACTGATCACAGTATTATTGATCTGTCAGGTGATTGATCAGTGTCATTGATCTGTCAGGTGATTGATCACAGTGTTATTGATCTGTCAGGTGACTGATTAGTATTATTGATTTGTCAGGTGACTGATCACAGTATTATTGATCTGTCAGGTGACTGATCACAGTGTTATTGATTTGTCAGGTGACCGATCACAGTATGAAGGTGGCAAGTCACTATAACAGTCTACAGGAAGTGGGTCTGGCGGTGCGAAGTCGAAGCAGAATCTTTTTCATGAGGAACTTCAACAATTGGCTGAAGAGCGTCCTGATAGGTAACTAATAACTAATCATCACTGTCAATCAATACATACCTAGTCAGTGATCAATACCAGTTTGTAAATCTAGCACCTTTTGATCAGATTATTTCAGCAGCCCAGACGTGAAGGTTTAGACCTGAACTCACCTGAAACACACCTGAACACACCTGAACATACCTGAACACACCTGGAACACACATGAGCACACCTGTAAAAAGCTGAACACACCTGAACCGCACCTGAAACACACCTGGTACACACGTGAACACACACCTGAAACACACCTGGTAGACACCTGAAACACACCTGAACACACACCTGAACACACCTGGAACACATCTGAACACACTTGAACACACCTGCAACACACCTTGAACACAGTTAAACACATTTTAACACACCTCAACGCTAAGGGTTTTTTTTCACTTACCCGGTCGGGCAAGTTGGTCAGAGATCTATTTGCCCGAATTCAGTTTTTACTTGCCCTATAAAAATTATTAATTTAAGCGGCTATCAAATAACAAAGACTGCAGTTATTTCTATGTTATGTAATCTTTATTCATACTGTGTTTATTAATTAAAAAAACATATGTCAAGTGTTGTAACTTAATTCCTACAGAAATATGACAGTGTCAGAGCTTAAAGTGAAAAATTTGTCAATCGTTGTCCGTCTATAATTTTGCGCCCTACTTGAGCCATGCCCACCTCTATTTATTTTTCACCCCTCTCTCCAGTTCTGCTGTATTAACACTGGGTTTAATATATTTTGCTTCCATCTCTCTGCCCTGCTCTGCTCTACTTCAACGCTGCTTAGCTCTCTCTCTACTCTACCAGTAGACTACCACATCGACCTGTTGCACAAAACACACACAGCAGTGTTTCCCCTAGGATCGAGTTGTATCTATGTATCTACTGGCACCAGAAGGGCTCTTTAGGACTAAGCACATACAGTACATGTGTACACAGTAATGAGCAGGTGAAATGTCTGTCTAGCTTACATATGAGGTGTCTCAAGATTTAGGAACATACAATTGTATTGAATATAATAAAAGTAAAAAGTCACTTGACATGCTGCTGTTTTGTGCTATGACCTATTTAAGTGCTGGAAGTTGTTATTTACGTGACAACGCCTGAACGCAACACAAGCTCAGCACCAAGAGTGCCATGTTTGTCTGTGCGTAACAGCAGTCTGTTGATGGTTATTTACACGCTGTCCATAAGGCTCCGGTCAGGTTTGGTCAGGAAAATGCGGCCTGAGCCGCTCTAGCATGCTCACCTGTGTGTGGTGGAACTCCACCATGCGCGATACAGAGGGCAGAGGAGAACTGTTAACGCATGACCATGTAGACACAGAAATGACACGATGACATAACACCATAAATAGTATATTGTTATGTTATTACAGTGGTGGAAAAAAGTTTTCGGACACCCCATGCATTTGTGAAGTATTGCATTAAGAATCACTCTTAGGTCTTCAAGTGCAATTTCTTTTAGTACAGTCACAGCCAAAATACTAAATAAATCCTAAAAAAGCCATTAAAAACTTAAAATTGATTGGTTCCATAAAAATACATAAGATATTTTGAGTATTGGGTCATTTTGGTACCAGTGATGAAGGTCGTTCTTTTTATTAAAAGACACAATTTTTGTTGCCAAGCTTCGTGTCTACATAAAGCCAGCACATTTGAAAGTTCTTCAGACACAAAAATGGCTAAAACAAGGAACCTAACGCAGGAAACACGCCTGAAGATAAAGATTCTCAGCCAGGAAGGGTACAGCTGCCGCCAGATAGCCAGGAAGTGCAGATGCAGTCCTTCAGCAGTTGGATACACTCTGCAGAAATACAGACGAACCAACAGCTTGGAAGACAAACCAAGATCTGGGCGTCCAAGGGTTTCTTCAGCAAGAAATGACCGCATCCTGATCCGCATGTGCAGGCAAAACCGCCGAATGACATCACAGGAGCTTCAGCAGCAGTGGTCAAACCAAACTGGTGTCCAGTGTTCCACCCGCACTGTACGTGGCCGACTTTTAGATCATGGCTTAAGGTCCTACAAGGCTATCAAGAAGCCCCTGATCAATGAGAGACAGAGGTTAGCCCGGCGTCGTTGGGCCCAGGCACACAAGAACTGGACAGCCAGGAATTGGAAGAAGATTTTGTGGTCAGATGAGTCCAGTTTCCAGCTTTATCTTCCTCCTACTAATGTGAGGGTACGCAGAAGGCCAGGCGAAGCATTATCTCCAGCATGTACAGTACCTACTGTCAAGCATGGTGGAGGCAGTATCATGGTTTGGGGATGCATGAGTGCTGCTGGTGTTGGTCATCTCACTGTCTGTGATGGCACATTGAACTCTACCAAGTATTGTACCATTCTCGAAACCCACATGCTCCCTTCTGCGCGTGCACTGTTCCGTCGAGGTAAAAACTGGATGTTTCAACAAGATAATGCCCCTTGCCACACATCCAAGGCCAGTAGAACTTGGCTGCAGGAGCACAGTATCCAGGTCTTAGAGTGGCCAGCTCAATCCCCGGACATGAGCCCCATTGAAAATCTGTGGTGGATTATCAAAAGGTCTGTTTCAAAGCATAAACCAAAGAATTTAGAAGAATTAAAAGCAGTAATTCAAGAAGAATGGGACAAGATTACCCCTCAACAGTGTGAAAGGCTCGTGGGGAACATGCCAGCCAGGATTAGAGCTCTACTACGTGCCAATGGCAGGACTACTAAATATTAATTTGATGATGTGATGGTTTATTTATTTTTTGTTCAGTTTTGAACACATTCTCTGTTATTTGTTGACTTTGATACCGACAATGTTGAGAACTGACATATTGAAACTGTCAAGAATTTAGTTTTGTTAGTTTTTCTTGTAAACAATAAACAAAAAAATATAATTTGTATTTGTTTGTATCTGTCTAATGCAGCCACACCTTTTGAAACACAAAAAAGATTTTTCCACAAATATTTCATGATAATATTTGAGATTGTGTAAAATTTTAAGGGTGTCCGAAAACTTTTTTCCACCACTGTATATGAAGCGTCCGTCGCGCAAAATAATATGACTTTAATTTATGAAGAGGTAAGACAGTGCTCTCTCCTCTTATATGCTGTGCCGCTCTGTGCTTCACTTGTGCCATGTAACCAATCAATGGGGGCTGTGGGCAGGACATTGTTACACAGCTGTGCCTGTGACTTCAGGTAGAAAGACCACTGCATCAGAGCAGAAGAGTACGTTTTAAAATACAGTTACTTTATCAATTAGTTATTAACTTTTGCTATTTTTAGCAACTTGGCCGATCGGGCAAGTGAGTTGTTAGTTTACATGCCTGACCTTGAGTTTTACTTGCCCCGGGCAATCGGGCAATCGTTATTGTTGAGCCCTGCCTTAACACACCTGGAACACACTTGAACTCAACTGAACTCACCCGGAACACACCTCAACACACTTGAACACACCAGAAACATCTGAACACACCTAATTCACCTGAACACACTGGAAACATCTGAACACACCTGGAACACACCTGAACATACCTGAACACACCGGACACACCTGAACATACCTGAACTCACCAGGCACACCTGATAAATATTAACGTTCTTTAAGCTAATTGGGTGATTGTTTGATTTACAGGTGAGATCCTGGAGCAGGTGCGGGCGGCAAGTTCTCAACAGGTGTCTGTGTTGGACCTCGGCTGTGGTAAAGGAGGAGATCTCCTGAAGTGGAGGAGAGGAGGAATCGATCACCTGGTCTGTGCAGGTAAATTATTTTTATTGATTTAAAACATTAGCTGATAAAGACAAATACTCCGGCCCTATAACAACAGCGCCTGTCCAACCAATGAGAATTCAACAACCAACTGACCAGATCTTTACAGCCCGGGCAGCTGTGGCTCAGAGGTAGTGCGGGTCGTCCACCAATCGAAACAGGCGGTTCAATCCTGGGCTCCTCCAGGCTGCATGTCGAAGTACCCTTGAGCAAGATACTGAACCCCAAATTGCTCCAGATGGCTGTTCCATCGGTGTGTGAGTGTGTTAAAACTGAGTAGCAGGTGGCACCTTGTATGGTAGCCTCGGCCACCAGTGTATGAATGTGTGTGTGAATGGGTGAATGTGACTCGTAGTGTAAGCGCTTTGAGTGGTCACTAAATGACTAGAAAGGCGCTATACAAATGCAGGTCCATTTTACTCCTGTCAGGAACTTGTCTGTCAGGGACTCATCTGTCAGGAACTCATATGTCAGGGACGCTTCAGGGGCTCTTCTGTCAGGGACTTGTCTGTCAGGGACTTGTCTGTCAGGGACTTGTCTATTGGGGACTCGTCTATCAGGAACTCGTCTGTCAGTGCTTATATGAGGGACTTGTCTGTCAGGGACTCGTCTGTTAGGAACTTGCTGCAGCATATCGTCCAATCACAGTGGAAGAGGGGCGGGACATAGACGACACAAAGAGGAGCAGGTTGTCCTCTGTCACGATGTTCTTCGACCATTTCTCCGTCCAAAGTGAGGGGGTCGTCTGTACTCCACATGGTGTTTTTGCACCAGTATGGAGCATTATATCCTGAATTATCCTGATGTCGACTCATCGACTGAGATTCTGTTGGAGCGGCGTCAGTTTTCAGGAACATGTATTATTTTACTGTAAAACTCAATTGCTTGTTCACATCCGGATAAGTTCGCATTACATCACCCACCAGTGGCAGCGTTTAGTAGCACAGTGCATTCTGGTAGTTGTAGTTTTTCTACTTTTTGAGTGACATCAGTCTCAGAGGTGAATTTTCTGTTGTCAGTTTCACCGTTAATAAAACTCAGAGGAGACGAATCATTACCCAGTAATGTGTCTTTTCATTTCCAGATATCGCCGGAGTGTCGGTGGAGCAGTGTCGTAGCCGGTACGAAGACATGAAGAAGAAGAGTCACGTGAATGAGAAGATCTTCAGCGCTCAGTTCATCAACGCCGACTGTTCCAAGGTAGAACCACAACACCTAGATCAGATTATCAGAGGATGGTTCTACTTAGAGGTTTGTGTCTGGGTGAAGGTAATAATCAGTAATCAATAATATTAGTGATGATCAATAATCAATAATATTAGCCTGGGTGATAATCAATAATCAGTAATAGTCTGGGTGATGATCAATAATCAATATTAGTCTGGGTGATGATCAATAATCAATATTGGTCTGGGTGATGATCAATAATCAATATTAGTCTGGGTGATGATCAATAATCAGTATTAGTCTAGGGAATGATGAATAATCATTAATAGTCTGGGTGATGATCAATAATCAATATTAGTTGGGTGATGATCGAAGTTTCTTGTGAAAGTGTCAGAAACACTCTAGGTGATACAGAGACAGAGTAATGGGACTCTGAAGTGAATAACTGTCTGTGGCTTCATCTGAGCAGGTAAATGACACTGTGGGGCTGTAGGCACACTATCAATGAACACTTGTTTCAAATTTGAAGAAGACTGCTCAAAGTATGACCATTCTACAGTGTTTTTACCATGAAAAGATCCAGGTGGAGCTCCAAATGACATTTTGTTTACTCTGCTTCAAAATAGTTCTATCAGTTATCAAACAACACTCAGCCAGCTTCAAATATTGTACCTTATTGAAATCAGGTGTGATTATGATAGCTGATGTTGTTTATGACACAGAAACACCATAAAATATCACCAAATAAAGCCGTATCAGTGTTTCCTCTAGAATTTGTTTCAGCAGCGGGGGCAGGCTCTCCGGGGAGCAGTGGCGGCGTAAACAAATGACACTTGACTGCAGATTTTACTTTTACAACCTATTTATTGAATGGCCCGTTGAAAATGGCTTTTTAAAGGTTGAATGAAAAAAATAAATAAAACTATAAAATTAAATAAATACAAATAAAAACAATAAACAATAATTTCTTGACGGGGCTGTAGAATCAGTGGCAAAGTTTGCACCCTGGCTCAGAACAATTAATTTTTCTGGGTTTTTTATAGAAGAGCTCTAAGGCTCTGTTGTACAGAAATTCTCCGAGAGGTGGCCTGCTGATGGTCAGCAGCATACATGCTGCAAGGTGATCCCCCTGCAGCCTGTTTCTCAAGTCAGTCTTCACCTACAAATAGAAACAATAATGAGATTGTTTCTCTCAATTTCCTACACCCTAATCATCTTAAAATTGTTTCTGTCTGTTTGTGTCTGATGATATATTATTAAATGTCTTACCCTATTCATTGTTGAAAAATCCCTCTCACAGTTCACACTTGAGATGGGAACCGTCAGGGCAATTGCTGCCAGCTGGCTCATGGAGGGATACAGCTATAACAACTCATCATCATTCTGGGATGACAGTTTTTCCATTGTTGTTACTTGGTCCATATCCTGAAACACATTAAACACAGTGGGATGACATGTCATTAAATAGGTTCCTCCATCATCTTTGTGCTGAACTCCCCCATTAATTTGGACCTAACATTTTACTTTAAAAGCTCCTGTGAGTAAATGCTGCTTGTAGGATGACCATTCATGCAGCAGAGTGGTTTCAGGCTGCTGCTGCAGGAATTTTTTGGACAGGGTCTTGAGGTCCTCAGTGATGACAGCATCATCTTCTTTAAGTGCCTTGGGTCCCAGCACATGGAAAGCTCCAATTATCCCCAGGTTTTGAAATCTCCTGTCCAGGCTGTCCAGGAGACCATCCAGATATGGCCCCATTACCTAAACATGGCACAAAAAACGAAAATGAGTACTGAGTTTAATTAATTGAAATCTTTACACAGGGAGATAAGCTAAGAGTTAGGTCTCCTTTCCAGAAGTCAATCAATCAATCAATTTTATTTATAAAGCCCAATATCACAAATCACAATTTGCCTCACAGGGCTTTACAGCATACGACATCCCTCTGTCCTTATGGCCCTCACAGCTGATTAGGAAAAACTCCCCAAAAAATTTAAAACAGTTTCCCCCTGGGGATTAATAAAGTATTCTGAATCTGAAAAAACACTTTAACGAGGGGAAAAAAATGGTAGAAACCTCAGGAAGAGCAACTGAGGAGGGATCCGTCTTCCAGGACGGACAGACGTGCAATAGATGTCGTACAGAACAGATCAGCATAATAAATTAACAGTAATCTGTATGACACAATGAGAGAGAGAGAGAGAGAGAGATGCAGGACAGACGGTAATGACAGTAGCTTACAACAACATTAATGAAAGTAATATTATAATTAATAATATATTAATATCTGGCAGTATACATGTGTGACAATAATCATATGTGTATAATAACAGTAGAAGTATGACTAATGACTAATGATGGCAGCAGCAGCAGGAGGCATCTGGCAGGACCACGGCAGCAGCACAACCACACACGTCACGCTGTCCAGGCACCGCTGTGATATGAGTTAATCTGAGAGACAGTGGAGCACAAAGGCTCCGGAGAAGAAGCCGAGTTAGTGACATCCAGAATGGCCGAGTTAGCAAGATGCAGTAATAGGACACGAGAGAGAGAGAGAGAGAGAGAGAGAGAGAGAGAGAGAGAAGGTGCCTGGTGTATTATAGGGGGGTCCTCCGGCAGACTAGGCCTAAGTCAGCCTAAAGGGCCGAACATACTCGGGCGGAACATACGCGGAACGGACTCCGCGGAGGTCCGCGCGGACTCAAAGTGGACGTCTGCAAGGCCTGTGTGCGCAAAGCTCAGATTTTATGACCGTGCGGACTCCGCTCTGCGCACCAGTGACTGCTTGGCATGTATTTTTCACATCGCAGGGATTTTTCACGGACATTTTTACAGGAAACTACAACGCGGAAGTGCGCTCGACTATGGAAGCCCAAATGACTGCGGACATTCCCCGCGGAGTCCGTTCCGCTTATAGCACGCCAGTGTATGTTCGGGCCTTAACTAGGGGCTGGTACAGGGCAAGCCTGAGCCAGCTCTAACTATAAGCTTTATCAAAGAGGAAAGTCTTAAGTCTAGTCTTAAATGTGGAGACGGTGTCTGCCTCCCGGACCGTAACAGGAAGCTCATAAAATCATTGCTGCTAAGGGCTAAAGGAATACAAGGCTCAATAGAGCTTTGACTCTCAGTCAGCCTGGCTACAGTGCTGAAAAGAAACTTGGGGTTATTTTTGTTTTCTTCTATTAAAGCTGAGTAATAGTTTGCTCTGGCATTGCGGAGGCCCCTCTTATAAGGTTTGAGACTGTCTGCCCAGATTAAAGGAGATTCTTCCAGTTTGGTTAATCGCCAATTCCTTTCAGACTTTCGTGATATTTGTTTTAACTTACGGGTTTGAGAGTTATACCAAGGAGCGAACTTTCTTGGCTTTGTTAACTTCTTTTTAAGAGGAGCTACAGAGTCGAGTGTTGTTCGCAGTGAGCCTATGACACTATCAACAAAATGATCAATTCGGGAGAGGTTAAAGTCGGTACGGGAAACCTCTGTTACTGAAGGACATGGTATTGAATTTAACAACGGAGTAATCTTTTCCTTAAATTTTGCGATAGCACTATCTGATAAACATCTAGTATAGTAACTGTTGCTGAGTGGCGTGTAATCGGGTAAAAAGAAATCAAAAGTAATCAGATAATGATCCGATAGCGAGGGATTCTGTGGAAAGACTGTTAGGTTATCAATTTCAATTCCATAC